CTAGAGCTCTTCTGAAATGCCTGCTAATTATGTTTGGGCATCCAGCAACCATTTAGTTAGGTTTGGTTAAAAGTACTGCAGTTCACATTATAAAGAAAAAAAATCCTGCTTTTATACAAATGCTCTGAGTAATAACTTAAAAAAAAACCCAAAATACAGACTCTATAGATATGTTATACTCTTCAATAGCCAAATTCCTTCCAGTTTTCTGAGAACTGATCATGCGACTGTAAATAATTTAGCATAACTGCCATTGTTGTCAGCAGTTTTTGGTATCTAACAGTAGTTTGGAGAGGGTCTCATGATCCATTCATAAGGTAGGTGGATTTAAAAAAAAAAAAACTACCTCATGAACTCTAGCTTCCTGCATTCTTGCAAGACTTCTGCTTGCATGCATGACTGCATTCTTCCTCCTTCTGCCTTTTTCTATTTTTTATTTTAATAGTTTAATTTGTTTTCCATCACTCCCATCTCCTTATGTTCTTATTTCCCTTGAAATAAGTTGTGGTTGTTTAAACAGTGGACACTTATCATTCAGCCTCATGCACGTCCTAAATTCCCTTGCATTGCTACAACTATGGATTATGAGAAACTTATGAGTCCTCAGTGAAACCTGCTTGTTGCTTTCATTGGGAATTGAAAACATGCTTTGAAGGAATAGGTCTGTTTTAGAAAAAGGTTTCGTAGGCCTCATGGCAGCAAGAGCTGTCAGGTTACAGAAACATTTTATACTTTTTGGTATTTTTTCAGTTTGCAAGTCAACAGCTTATTACGAAATCCAACACTCCAGTCAAATTGTAATATTTTATATGATATATTTTAATAGAATGTTTCTCAAACTATTTCACTTGGTGTCAGTGTCTCTCTTATATTGATATACAATATATGGATTTATATATTTATAAAATTATTTGTTTGACTGAAATGTAACTTTTTTTCCTAATCACTTTCCTTAGACCTGATCAAAAGTTTTGTGAGCATATAAAGGATGAGAAATGTGAAGATTTTCAGAAACGGTACATCCTTAAAAGAGATAATTCTAGTTTAGACAAAGATGATAACCAGGTAAATGTATGGAATTTTAATTTTTTCATATTGATGCCTTGTCTATAAATTCATGCTATTTTCTTGTAGAAATTGGTATTTTATCTAATCACTTATTTAATTTAATTTAGATGCGAATACGCTTAAAAGATGACAGAAGAAGCAAATCTATAGAAGAACGAGAAGAAGAGTACCAGAGAGCTAGAGAACGAATATTTGCACAAGATGTAGGTATTAAATCAAAAGGAAATCTCACTGCATCTTTCTCTTGGGAAATTTTTTTCAGTCTGACAATTTCATACATACAGGTACCTATAGTTCATATTTTAAAGGATTTTTCTTCTTGATGTAGGTTTTCATCTATATACAATAAAAAAAATTAGTTAACAGTTCTGATGGTTTTGATGATCATTATGATAATGTCTGAGCAAGTAAAATATCCAACTCACTTTGCCAGGGCAGCATTAACTCTGCAGTGCTAACTGGAATTCAGCCTTGTTTGTCAGTAAAATAAGCATAAATAAAAAACATACAGGAAGGACATCTGTTTTAAGGTACCTTTTTACATAATTGCCTTTTTGCGTTATCTGCACAAAAAAAACAGATTCTCATTCTAAAATGCGGAGAATCTTTTGGTAGACTAGTTTTGCTGCACCTGTATATATTGAAAAGTATTTTCTACTTTGTCCAACAGCAAAAGAGAACAAACTTTTAACAAATTATTCTGACTTCTACAGTACTTACCAGAACATTTACGTTTTTCTTAGTTTAATTTGTATATTTTTCTTGTCCTCTGTATTATTCCTTTAGGAAGCACTTAACCAAAACTAAGAAGAAATCGTTCACCCCAGAATGTTCAGAAGTAATGGTTCTTCAAGTGCCTGTCCAAATATATTACTGTTGGTGTGCTTGTGCCATACACTTAAGTTTGGATTCTTTTGGCCAACAGTGTATTTGGGCTGTGTCTGCACCCTGAGTGTCCTCTTCCCTCCCACCTGAGAGGGTAAAGGGCGAGTTGACTCCAACTGCCTCTCAATTCCTTTTGACCGCCCAAAGCAATGTTTCAGAACTTTGGCAGTGTGTGTGTGAGCCTCTCAGTCACTGTGCAGTCCCTTTCTATTGTTTGTATGTAAATAAGAATGCCTTAGATAATTGTTAGGCTTACATTTTTTTACATATTGTTTCCTTGCCTTTGGATTCACTTGAATAGTCATACATTTATTTTGTCAATACTGAAATATATTAATCAAATATCTTGAAAATGTGATATTTTCCTCAATAGTCCATAATCATTCCACACTGTCATGTAAGTAGATAATGGTTGCATAGTGCAGGTGAGTAAAAAGGGTGGGAGATCATAATTTGGCTTTTAAGATCACTACATTCCTTTATGGTATCTGTCTGGCTCTAGGGAGCCATATTGATCTAATATTCTATATTTTACACTCACAAAGCTCAAAAATAGTTATTTGAAAACTATAGAGTAGGTGTATGAAAAGCAAAAAGACTATACCTAATCTAACTAGGAAATTGGGTGAGGGCAGAGAGAGACTGCTAAGATTTTTGTACATTAATGTAAGGAGCCTGCACAACAAAATGGAAGAACTAGAACTATTGGTGCAGGATGTGAAAACAGATTTTACAAGGATAACAAACATGGCAGGATAACAATCATGACTACAACACAGGTGTTGAAGAATACGAGCTGTTCAGGACAGAGAAATAAAGATAAATGTGGTGGGGTAGCATTATACATCAGTGATGCGGTAGATTGTAAAGAAATAAGAAAAGATTGCATGGATAAAACAAACGGTTTGGGCCACAATCATTTGGGAAAGGACTGTGAAAGAGTGCCTACTGGAGCAGGGCTAAGGGTCTGTTATAGACCCTGTAGAGTAGCATTTGGTTATGGATAGAGTAGAAATCTATTTTTAATATTAGAAAGATAACTACTCCCAGAAATTGTTGTTATGGGAGACTTTAATTTTCCAGCTATAGATTGGAGAGCAAATGCAACTAATAATGGTAGGGCCCAATTATTCCTAGATGTAATAGCTGACAGATTTCTTCACCAAATAACCAGCAAGAGGTGATGCTATTTTAGACTTGGTTTTGGTAAATAGTGAAGACATTATAGAAGAAGTGGTCATAAAAAATAGCATTGTATCAAGTGATCAGGAGCTGATTAAGTTTAAATTTAAATGGAAGCATAATAAAAAAACAGGTTGGTAAGGAAAGTTTTTGATTTTTAAAAGGGCACATTTTGAGAAATTCAGGGAACTAGTTAGTTAAATCAGTTAGACCAGTGTTTCCCAAATTTGGGACGCCGCTTGTGTAGGGAAAGCCCCTGGCGGGCTGGACCGGGCCAGTTTGTTTACCTGCTGCGTCCACAGGTCCGGCCGATCGCGGCTCCCACTGGCCGCGGTTCGCTGCTCAAGGCCAATGGGGGCTGCTGGAAGTGGCGGCCAGTATGTCCCTCTGCCTGCGCCGCTTCCAGCAGCTCCCATTGGCCTGGAGCAGCGAACCGCAGCCAGTGGGAGCTGCGATCGGCCGGACCTGAGGACGGGGCAGGTAAACAAACTAGCCCGGCCGGCTAAGGGCTTTCGCTACACAAGCGTCGTCCCAAGTTTGGGAAACACTGAGTTAGACTAAAGAGCTCAGAGATTTAAATGTGGAGGAGACTTGGAACTTCTTTAAGTCAAAAGTGTAAAAGTCTTGAGTTTACATTCCAAACAAGGGGGAAAAAATTGAAGGGAAGGGCTCCAGACATAAATTAATGAATAACCACCTCAAAAAGGGTATTATAGGAGTAAGCAGAGAGCCTAAAATGAATGGAAGAAAGGCCTGATCAACGAAGAAAGCTACATCTTGAAGGTCAGAAACTGTAGGAATTAAAGGTTTCAGAGTAGCAGCCGTGTTAGTCTGTATCCGCAAAAAGAACAGGAGTACTTGTGGCACCTTAGAGACTAACAAATATATTAGAGCATAAGCTTTCGTGGACACATATGTTCCATTCAAAATGGCTGTGAA